TCCATCACAATGTCCCGTTGCACTAGAAGTGGTTTAGTCCTGCTGGCCACATGACCCAGAAAGCTGTCTGTGGACAAACGCCTGCTCCCTTGGCCTGAAAGTGAGATGAGCGCCGCAACCCCATAGTCGCCTTTGACTGGACTTTACCGGACTTTACCAGGCCCAAAGCCAGGTGAATGTGACCCATCTGAGAGGCTGGCCCAAGACACTTTGGCACCCGAGGCAAACCACAAAATGGCGGGCTTGCCTCTGCCAGGGGAGAAGGAAATAACGCTTGTGCATGCGCAAATAACGCGCATGCGCACAAGCTATTTCCAGTGCTGCTCCAACCTGGAAGTGGGCAGCCGTGCCGCGCAGCGCCAGTAAGACCGGGTGTCAGCAGTGGGTGGCAGGGGGTCGCCACGGGCCGGATAAACGAGTCCCTTGGGCCTTATCCAGCCCACGGGCCTTAGTTTGGGGACCCCTGTCATAGCCAGATCACTCTTGGGTTCACCCACTAACATGGAGTAATAATAGCTTTTCATTCAGTATTCACCAAGACAATTATTTCAGAAGGATTACTAAGAAAACCCACCTCAGCTGCAAAAATCTTTCCCCCCAAAGTGATGGAGAATTCTGCCTCCCCCTCCAAGAATATTTTCCCCCTGGGAATGGGTCCAGTAATCAGTCTATTGGGCAGTAAGCCATTTTAGATGCTTAGTAGAAAGATAACAACCATAAATGCTGATTTATTTTGTTTCCTGAAATGTATATACCACTTGACTGGAACAAACATGAACACAAGTTAGGTCTGAATTTGAAGGGGAGGGTGTCTTACTGGGTCTGGAGAAGATCAAGGCCACAGGCCTGTAGACATGTCCTTAATTGACATGTTTTTTATGCACAAGTCAAGACTTGTTGTCCCTCTTGCGTTTCCTCTGCAGACTCTGACAACGTCACCTGCTACAGCCCAGCTTTTGTGCATGACCTGAAGATGCTGGAAGAGGCACAGGAGCAACTGAATTATAAATGCTTCATCCATTTTGATGACCAAGACTATCTTTTCCTGGGTCTGGTTGGATTCTGCATCTTCTCTGCCGGCACGGTGTTTGCCTGGCTCCTGGGAGTTTGCGCGGCTGTATATGAATTCTTAACTGCGTCAGGAGACGATGAAAACGAAGAGGACTGGGATGAATGAGCCTAGTAGACTCTGAAAATGGACTTGGTGATATATTGAGAGTGTCGTCCTATGTATCTTTACTTGGAAGTAAGCCCCGCTGATCACAATGTGACCAGGACTGCAGTCCACCACGCATGTCCTAGGAAGCAATCCTTTTTGAAGACAGTGGGGCATACTTTAGAGTAAATAAGCGTAAAATGCCTGAAAGTAAAGACATTCTCAGAATCATATTTGAAACTCTATGACAGCAAATGCCTGCAAATTACCTTACTGGAATAGTTTGGCTTTGGAGAGTGATATCATTCTGTTAAGATGTTGCTGCTATGCCTGGCGCTAGATTGGAGTGCAGCTTTCCTCATACAGTGGTGCCTCGCAAGACGAAATTAATTCGTTCTGCGAGTTTTTTCGTCTTGCGAATTTTTCATCTTGCGAAGCACGGTTTCAAAAGAAGTTTTGGAAAAGCTTCAAAAATCACCAAAGTCTTCAAAAACCTCAAAAAAGGCTACCACACCGCGTGCAACTGCACCTCTTCAAGCAATGCACCCTGGGTATTAACGGTTTTAAGAAAAAGGAAACAAACTTGCAAGACGTTTTCGTCTTGCAAAGCAAGCCCATAGGGAAATTTGTCTTGCGAAGCCACTCAAAAAACCAAAAACCCTTTCGTCTTGCGAGTTTTTCGTCTTGCAAGGCATTCGTCTTGCGAGGTACCACTGTATTTGGTAATGGCTCAGAATTGCTCTTTACTTGCAATAGAAATATTATTAGCGAGATGCAATGCGATAGCAACCCTTTCAGATGCTTACTGAAAACATGAGATGTGAAGCACATAAAATAAGCCCCTTTCCAGCATGAACACTGCTGACTGCCAAGGAAAGACCACCCCCATCCCCAAATAATTGTGTCTAACTACTATATATCTCAGGTTGAAACAATTTTTCACTGGCTCTCCTCCTCAGCCTGATATGGCTGACCTTTAAAGCCCTAAACAGCCTTGGCCCAGTATACCTGAAGGAGCATTTCCACCCCCCATCATTCAGCCCGGACACTGAGGTCCAGCTCCGAGGGCCTTCTGGTGGTTCCCTCACTGCAAGAAGCGAGGTTACAAGGAACCAGGGAGAGGGCCTTCTTGGTAGTGGCGCCCGCCCTGTGGAACACCCTCCCTTCAGATGTCAAGGAAATAAACAACTACTTGACTTTCAGAAGACATCTGAAGGCAATCCTGTTTAAGGAAGTTTTTAATGTTTGATGTTTTATTGTGTTTTTAATATTCTGTTGGGAGCCGCCCAGAGTGGCTGGGGAAACCCAGCCAGATGGGTGGGGTATAAAAAATATATTATTATTATTATTATTATTATTATTATTATTATTATTATTCACAAATTGACGAAGTGAAAGTTACTTTGGTATGCAATAAATCAGAGGTAGCTGTGAGTAGAGAAATTTCACAAATCAATGAATATTAACCTCTCTTACTTACCCTCTCTCAAACCCACTGCCATTCAGCTTTCTCCCTTTTTGAGGAGTTGCACAAACTTGATGTACCAATAAAGACTTGTGCTTGTATATAGCCTTGGTTGATGTATCGCCTTTTTCTTCAGGAATTGCGTGTCATAAAAGAATTGCCAAGTCTTTTGTGTTTTCGCCTTCCTAATCTGATATGTGAGTGTATGATATAACCTCCCACATTTTTTGCCATCTAGTCCACATGGCTGGGAGAAGATGGAAGACGCCACTTGCTCAGCCGAGCTGTCGGAGGTACCAGGAACAAGCAAGACAGTGACTTCCTTCACAGGTACAACAGATAGTCACTGTCGATATTGCACAATAGCATAAGCTTCATTTCCTTATCAGCTGTGTGCTTCAAAACTTCCCCACATTTTGGGCACTCCCACCAGATGTTGAAGAATGTGCCCACACTGCTTCGCGAGCTTATTCTTCATATATATATAATTCCCAAGGCTGTTCAATGTGTGCTTTTATCTGTCAGTATATAGTACAAATTCACAAAGGACACAGCCACATTAATGCAAGAGACTTTCATTATATTTTCAAGTTTTTATTGTTATATTAGTTGTCCAGGGAAATGTGTTATTGGGCAGCATAAAATGGTTGTAAATAACTAAATATTTTTTATTTAAAAAAGAAGATAACATAAACAAACAAACAAACAAATAAACAAGGCAGAACCTCCATACAGATGCAAAGAAGAGAAATATAAGTGGTAATATAAGTGAAAGTCCCAGCAAAGGAAGAATGGATACAAAAACATACGGAATATGCAGAAATGACGAAACTTACCAGAAGAATAAGAAATCAGGATAACAAACTTTTTATAAAAGAATGGAAATAGTTCCTTGAATATTTACAAACTGTAAACAGATAAGAACATTGGCAGGATTATTGTAATAACCTGCAGTTTCATAACAGTATATATTTAAAATAATGAATGAGCAAATTAAGTTAATTCGGATGTGCAAAAGAAGATACAGTCATACCTCATGTTACGTTTGCTTCAGGTTGCATGTTTTCAGGTTGCGTCCTGCAGCGAACTAGAAGTAACGGAACAGGTTACTTCCGGGTTTCGCCACACGCGCAAACGCACAAAGTGACGTCACACGCATGTGCAGAAGCAGCGAATCGTGACCCGCGCATGCACAGACGCGGGTTGTGTTCTTTTCAGGTTGCGAACGGGCCTCCGGAACGGATCCCATTTGCAACCAGAGGTACCACTGTAAATTTAAGGAACCGCAGAAAGAGGGGGAAGGAAGTTGAGTTTTAAATGTCAAAAGGATTGTATAGTTAGCATAGCTGTCAACCTTCCCTTTTTTGCGGGAAATTCTTTCACGCTGCTTCCCGCTGCTATCCCAGATTGTTAGATATCCTGTAGACTGTCCCCGGGACAGGTGAGACTGCTGATCCCTTATTTTTGAGGCTGCTGATCACTTATTTTCAAATCTGAAAGTTGACAGGTATAAAAGTTAGTGAAACGAAGATCATGGCCACTGGTCCCATCACCTCCTGGCAAATAGAAGGGGAAGAAATGGGAGGCAGTGAGAGATTTTACTTTCTTGGGCTCCATGATCACTGCAGATGGTGACAGCAGCCATGAAATTAAAAGACGCCTGCTTCTTGGGAGAAAAGCAATGACAAACCTAGCAGCATCTTAAAAAGCAGAGACATCACCTTGCCAACAAAGGTCCGTATAGTTAAAGCCATGGTTTTCCCAGTAGTGATATATGGAAGTGAGAGCTGGACCATAAAGAATTGATGCTTTTGAATTATGGTGCTGGAGGAGACACTTGAGAGTCCCGTGGACTGCAAGAAGATCAAATTCATCCATTCTTAAGGAAATTAGCCCTGAGTGCTCACTGGAAGGACAGATCGTGAAGCTGAGGCTCCAATACTTTGGCCACCTCATGGGAAGAGAAGACTCCCTGGAAAAGACCCTGATGTTGGGAAAGATGGAGGGCACAAGGAGAAGGGGACGACAGAGGACGAGATGGTTCGACAGTGTTCTCGAAGCTACAAACATGAGCCTGACCAAACTGCGGGAGGCGGTGGAAGACAGGAGTGCCTGGCGTGCTCTGGTCCAGGGGGTCACGAAGAGTCGGACACGACTAAACGACTAAACAACAACATAAACCTGAAAAACATTTTTTTTTTTAAAAAAAAGGGCTAACTAGGCAATGCTTTTTAAAAAACCATTATTAAATTTTCTTTATACTAGGCCTAACTAGACCTAACTAGGCAATGCTAATGTTCACAGAGAGAGAGAGAGATGTACTCAAACTTTCCTCTCTCCATAGGAGAGGGCGCTCTTGCGCGCTCCGCGTTTCGGAGCAGCCGCGCCCTCGGGTGGATCCGCCCCGGCGTGGGCTGGGCTTCCCGGGCAACCCTTCGCTCTCGGCCCGGGGCGGCACTGCGTTTCTCGGCGTGCACTTGCTGGGCGGCAGCGGCGACGGTGGTGGTGAGTCCGGGTCGACGGGGCGGGAGGACGAGGGTCTTCGGAGCCGGGCGCCCTGCTCGGCGCTTTCCCCGGCTCTTGGGCCCGGTGTCCCCTGGCTCAGCTCGGGCGTCGCGGGCCAAGTTCCTCCCGCCCCGTCCGGCGGGGCGCTTTTGCCCTTCGCGGGCGGCTCCCAGTCCCAGCGGCGAAGCTGGCGGCTCCCGGACCTCGAGTGCGAATCCTGCCGGCTGCAAGCCGCTGCAGGTCGGGCTGAGATTGTGGCTAGGCTTGACAGCGCGTCTCTGGAAACGGCAGGGCTTGTGATCAAATAGCATAGAGATCATAGGGGTGCAAGGGGACCCTGGGCATCATCTAGTCCAACCCCCTTGCAATGGCAGAAGTATGCAGCTGTCCCATGCGGGGATCGAACCTGCAACCTTGGCGTTCTCAGCACCACACTCTCACCAACTGAGCTCAACATGCTGGAAGATGGGGCTCTTGTCCAGGGCTGGCAGGATGCTGCCAACCCCTTGCCATGGGTGGGGGGTGGGGGGGGGCGTCCTTCAGCAGGGGGTGTCTTGACTTTCAGCCTTGTGGGATGAGCAAGGGGTATTAGAGTAGTGCGTTGGCGGCAAGTCGGTTCCCTCGCATAATTTTGCCCCAAGCAACTGGTTTGCGCTTTCCTAGCGCCGTTCCCATTCTCCGAAACCACATGCTAGGCTTTTCACACAAGCAGTTGACTCAGTGGAGGGGCTTTCTCCCCTTTGTGGCAAGCGGACACCTCTGGAATGAAGTGTGGGCTTGACCTGGTATGTTGTTGTTGCTGCTGTTTAGTCGTGTCCGCCTCTTCGTGACCCCTGGACCAGAGCACGCCAGGCACTCCTGTCTTCCACTGCTCCCACAGTTTGGTCAAACACATGCTGGTAGCTTCGGGAACACTGTCCCACCATCTCGTCCTCTGTCGTCCCCCTTCTCCTTGTGCCCTCCATCTTTCCCAACATCAGGGTCTTTTCCAGGGAGTCTTCTCTTCTCATGAGGTGGCCAAAGTATTGGAGCCTCAGCTTCAGGATCTGTCCTTCCAGTGAGCAACTCAGGGCTGATTTCCTTAAGAATGGATGACCTGACATATCTGGGGCAAATCACACCGGCTGCCACCTGCTCCGGAGGACTGAGCCTTGCAAGGGAGGTGGGCACAAGCAGTTGTACAGTTTAACTTGATGGGGTGAAAGGACATCAGGTTGCAGATAAGCCGCCCCTGTGTGTTTGGACTTTACACCTTAATGGCTCTTGGTGGGGCACTTTACACAAGGTGAACCCGCTGGCTGTTGCTTTTTCTTCCGGACCAGGCCTTCAAGTCCCTGGGCCCTCAACTTTGCCCAGACTTGGCTGCCGCACAAAGTGCAATTTCCTTTGTCACTGAGACATAGTAGAGGGGAAATCCTGCAAAAAGCCAGCCTTTGGCCCAGAGCACTCTATAGCTGCCTCCTGGCATCCTTGGATCTTTGTCTTCCTCCTTTCCAGTACTTCAAGCTCGGGCGGTTCCTCTGGGTGCATCGCTGGGGTTTTCAGCCTAGGATTTTGCTATTGTGTGTGTGTGGGGGGGGTTTGCTTGCGAAAAGCCTCCCTTGAGTGTATAGATTTCAACTTCATAGGCAAGTTTGGCAGGTACCCGGAGATCTAGGGTGGTTGGTTAAGACAGAGTGGAGTATCTGGCATGTTTGATGCAGGCATTTGGAGATAGAGAATGCCAGGGGGAAACATGCCAGTAGTTTGAAATTGTGCTTGCACCCTGGCGCATGTATGTGCTGCAACAACAGCTCTTCACTCCTCGATCCTGCAAGGACTTGTTGCAAAGGCATCGTCTATCTGATCTGAATATGCGCAGACTGACACACTAATCTAGAGTCAGGGGCATTTTGGGGAACATTAATTTTATTAACAGCCACTCAAATCAGACATTGCCCTCATGGGACTTGTTTATGGAGGAGAGATAAGATTGTTGGCCTCTGGAAAAATAGCGCTGGCTCTCATTTCTGACTCCTCAACGGTAATGTTGATGGCTCTAGCTATAATAGTAGAGAAATAAACATGTTTTTCATGGGGGTCAGAAAAATGACCAGCAGCAGCATCGATAAATCTCAGGAGGGAGGGAGCTCAGTAGCAGAGGCACCACCACAAAAAAGGCCGGGCGGGGGGGGGGGGGGGTAGCGATTCTGATTCTTGGGCTTGAACTAACCTTCCCCTTTCCCCCTCTCCTCAGTGCCAAGATGGTGGTTCTCTCGAAGGAATACGGCTATGTGATTCTCACCGGTGCTGCCAGTTTCATCTTGGTAACACACCTTGCCATCAATGTGGGGAAAGCCCGCAAGAAATACAATGTTCAGGTGAGTGGGGGCGGGGGGGGGGGCGGGTTGCTGCATTAAGACTCTGGGAAGAGAAAAGATGCAGCATATCCCATATAATCTGATCATTCTGCTTATTTCCTGTGGCGTCTGTTCTTCCTTTTTTCAAAGAACCATGTTTTTTCAGACCTCATGGCCAGTGGCGTGGGATTTTTCCCCTTTGCTGGCTGGAAAGTGGGTGGGTCCCCCCCCCGCCTCTTTCCTTTGGGTGCGCTCTTGAGTAAGCCGTGTGCAAATGGAACAATGCAGGCAGCTATTGCTACTTTCTGCCAGGTGACAGGCTGCCTCCGTGGAACCTCCATAGTCAAAGGCAGTGTACCGCTGAGATGGCTCTTCCCTTCATGTCCTGCTTGCAAACGCCCAAATAGCACTTGGATGGCCGTTGGTGGAAACGGCCTAGATAGACCATGAATCTGTTCCAGTTCTGATGTTTACACGCATTATGTAGGCAGGCCTTGAAGGTGGCTTGGGGCGTCCTTGACAATAGATTTGATCATCAACATCATAGCTTCCAACTCTCTCTGGTTTTTTAATCTGTGAGGACTTGGGCAAGGAATTTGGGAGTTGGCTTTTGCAAACGCCCACAGCTGGCAGCGCTGCACAAATGTTTCTGATCTGAAAGCTGCCGCGGGGGAACGAGCTGTATCGCCGCTCTTGCTGGTTTCTGTGGTTCTCAGCTGCTAGCATCCCTTGGGGAGCCGTTTTGTGGGGGTCTCTGAAACAGAGGAGTCTTGTTAGAAACCCTCCGCTCCAATTTGTGCACAGAAAAAACTTCCTCTCCTCTCCCTGGAAGGCTTTGGTGCCGCAGTTAGGAAGGAGGCCAGAGGGTGTGTCTGCTCTGCTCTCAGTCGGTGAGTCATAAGCCCCTCTAAAAACAACTGGAGCCGGGCTTTGTGAATGGTTTCTCGTGGCTCAGGAATGGGTGGGGGACGTCAGCCACAAGACTGACAAACTGTGTCCCTATCACTCCTCTTCCTTGGCACTCTCGTTTCTGTGTTAGTTACCGTATTTTTCGCTCCATAGGACACACTTTTTCCCTCCTAAAAAGTAAGGGGAAATGTCTGTGCCTCTTATGCAGCGAATGTCTACAGATGTCCCTCGTCCGTGGCTCGCTCTGAAACATCAAAGCGGGAGAGGAGCCGCTTACATGGGTGTAAGCAGCTCCTGTCCGCTTGGCTGTTTTAAAGCAAGCGTGCTCTCTTTCCCTCCCTCCTCCCCACTTAGCTTGCTAACTAGCAGCAAAGCTTTTCAGCTCGCTGAGCGGGGAGGAGGGATAGAAGGAGAGCCCGCTTGCTTTAAAGGAACAAAGCAGGAGAGGAGAGGAGCCGCTTACATGGGTGTAAGCGGCTCCTGTCCGGTTGGCTCCTTTAAAGCAACCAGGCTCTCTTTCCCTCCCTCCCTCCCCGGCTCAGCGAGCTGAAAAGCTCCTCCACAACACCCCACACGTGCTCTTTCTCGCTTCAGTGTTTTTCCTTCCCTCCCCGCTTAAAACGTGGTTACAAGGCACGGATCCACGTGGATTCTCAGGATTTTTGCACTGGGTTACCCCAAATTCACCGATCCACATGGATCCTCAGGATTTTTGCATTGGCTCACCCCAACCTAGCAGTTTGAAAGCACCCCTGGGTGCAAGTAGATAAATAGGGACCGCTTTCTAGTGGGAAGGTAAACGGTGTTTCCGTGTGCTGCTCTGGCGAGCCAGAGCAGCGATGTCACGCTGGCCACGTGACCCGGAAGTGTCTCCGGACAGCGCTGGCCCCCGGCCTCTTGAGTGAGATGGGCGCACAACCCCAGAGTCTGGCAAGACTGGCCCGTACGGGCAGGGGTACCTTTACCTTTACTTACCCAAATTCACCATCAGATCACATGTCTGTGGCCACAGCATGAACCACAAAAATCATACATCCACTGTTTCGTTCAGAATTATTTTTTTCTTGTTTTCCTCCTCTAAAAACTAGGTGTGTCTTTTTGTCAGGTGCGCCTTATGGAGCGAAAAATACAGTAACTCCTGCAAAGAGCCTTTGAAATGCACTTTGCAGGCAAACATAAAGGGAGAAGAAGCAAATTAGGAGGAGAGGGTTGCTGCTATCGTGTTTGGGCTCTTATTCCCCCTTGTGGCGAGTGACCCGGCTTGTTTCACCTGCTACTGTTTACTGAAGCCTTTGTTGACTTTTGCTTGAGACGCCGTGGCTGCTTCCAGGTCTGGGGGGGAAAAAAGAGTTTCTCCCTCTGCTGCCATGGTGGGAAGGCTTGTAGCAGAAGGCAAGGGAGAGATGGAAGGAAACAGGAAAGTCTCACACAGAAGGAGCCCACTCAGACACAAAGTTTTAATTCACCCACCTGACATGGTATGTCTATGAATGTGTTTTTCCGGCAAAGTGCAAAACAGAAGCCCAATCAGTCAGTAACTACTATAGCTCCATTCCTTGTGTGCCCATTGGGTGTGGGAATAGAGTAACACATTGATAACTAGGTAGCACGTGGAACACTTAAATGGCTCAGGACCGCAATACCTCAAGGACTGCCTCTTTCCGTATGAAGCTACCCAGACCCTGAGATCATCTTCTGAGGCCCTCCTTCGTGTTCCCTCTCCTTGAGAGGCCCGGAGGGTGGCAACACAAGAACGGGGCCTTCTCTGCAGTGGCTCCCCATCTGTGGAATGCTCTCCCCAGGGAGGTTCGCCTGATGCCTTCATTATACACCTTTAGGCGCCAGGCAGAAATGTTCCGTTTTCACCAGGCCTTTGCTTGATCTGATTGACATCCTATGCCCTTTTAAAATGTGGCTTTTTTGTGGGGGGGGCTATTGGGTTGTTGTTTTTATTTTTATTATGTATTTTGTGGTTTTATATTTTGATATTTATTTATTATTATTATTATCTAATAATATTATATAATATATATAATTATTTTTTTTATTCTGTGAACCACCCTGAGACCCCCAGGTATATAAATTACAACAATAACAACAACAACATTTTTCTCCTCCAACTCCACAGTTGATGAGGTGACATTTATGTTCTTTCTTTCTCTCTCTCTCTCTCTCTCTCTCTCTCCCCCTTCCCCCACTAACCTCCCTCAAAAGTACCCAAACATGTACAGCACAGACCCTGAAAATGGACATCTCTTCAACTGTATCCAGAGGGCCCACCAGAACACGTGAGTAGCACTCCGCACAAGGAGTTTAATTTTGGTTTCTTAAGTGTTTAATGCCTCGACTGGTGCAGCCGCTGCTGTTTTGGGAAACCATTCTCAATGCAGCAATCCCTGCCGTGCTGCCTGTAGCAGCCGTGATAAAATCGCTTGAGGAAATCCATATTCTAAACGCCTGTCCAGCCCCCTGCAATGCAAGAATCTCAGCAAAAGCTTTCCCTGAGAGATGGCCATCCAGTCTCTGCTTAAATACCTCCAAGCAAGGAGAATCCAACACCTTCCAAGGGAGTCAAATGGCCCCTAACCATCAGAAAGTTCTTCCTGGTGATTAGCTGGAATCTCCTTTCTTGTAACCTGAAGACATGGGTTCGAGTCCTACCCTCCAGTGCAGGAGAAAACAAGCCTGTTCCCTCCTCCGTGTGTCAGCCCTTGAGACTGCCTTTTGACTGCCGAGTGTCTTGCTACGGCCAGTGGCTTGTCAGCAAAAGGCTTGTCGGAGGCAGGTGGTTCAGAAGTCTGCATTGCTGGAGCACAGAGCTCATGCAACAGCCAGGAAGGTGGGTTACAGAATCCCGGGGAAATTTCCAGCTTGCGGAAGCGAAATTTTGCTGACCTTTCCTGCCGAGAGCATGCGATTCCTACATCAATATATGTTGGGAGTCTCTGTCTTTTGACCTTTGCACATTAACTGTATACCTGCCTCGGCCTTCGTTTTCTCCCCCTTATATACCGATCCTCGATACAGTGGTACCTCGGGTTAAGTACTTAATTCGTTCCGGAGGTCTGTACTTAACCTGAAACTGTTCTTAACCTGAAGCACCACTTTAGCTAATGGGGCCTCCCGCTGCCGCTGTGCTGCCGCTGCACGATTTCTGTTCTCATCCTGAAGCAAAGTTCTTAACCTGAGGTATTATTTCTGGGTTAGCAGAGTCTGTAACCTGAAACGTATGTAACCTGAAGCGTATGTAACCCGAGGTACCACTGTATTCTGCTCTGAACCTCCTCTTAATTCATGTGTGCACATCCCAGAGGCTGGAATGGGGAAGATGCAATAAGGGATACACTGTGCAATAAGGGATACACTCCATGGTGCCCTGAGAGAGCTGCAGAGGCCTGACTTTCCCGTAACAGGAAGGAATCATTGCAAGCGTGCAAATTATTCAGGGACAGCTGTGAAATCTGCTGCCTTCTTCCTTGCAGTCTCTTGTTGAGAATGATGGTCCTGGTCTCTGACACCAGCTGGCACGAATGAGGGAGCTCATTCCAGGCCATTTAAAAACAGATACAAAGCCACAACGCACACACCTGTCTCTGTTCTTGCAGGTTAGAAGTGTATTCCTCCTTCTTATTCTTTCTTGGAGTGAGCGGAGTCTACTTCCCGGTAAGTACCAAGATGAGAGACTTTGGGGTTTGTTTTTCCCCAGGCTGCTCAGTGGGAGCAAAGCCCGGGTGTGACTGCGAAGCCCAAGGTACTTGATTCCATGCTATAGTTTCTCTGGAGAAGAGCTCAGGAACACCCACACAGTGTGGTGTGGTGGTTAAGAGCAGTGGACTCGTAATCTGGTGAACCGGGTTCGATTCCCTGCTCCTCCACATGCAACTGCTGGGTGACCTTGGGCTAGTCACACTTCTCTCTGAAGATTTTAATGTTTAATAGGTTATTGTATTTTAGTGTTCTGTTGGAAGCCACCCAGAGTGGCTGGGGAAACCCAGCCAGATGGGTGGGGTATAAATAATAAATTATTATTATATTATTATCTCTCTGCCTCACTCACCTCACAGAGTGTTTGTTGTGGGGGAGGAAGGGAAAGGAGATTGTTAGCCGCTTTGAGACTCCTTAGGGTAGTGATAAAGCGGGATATCAAATCCCAGGAGGACTCCAAAACTCCTTTACAGGAGAGTGTAATCAAGTCCAGAAAAGGCAGTTGACCAGTTTCCTGGACATGGGAACCACCGCTCAACTGGGTCTCTGCCTTCTCAGGACTGAAACGCCTCTTATTGGTTCCCATTCTGCACTCCACTGTGTCCAGGCAGCTGCTCCTGATTCAAACGTTGCCATAGAATTGTTGCAAGGGACCCCAAGGGTCATCTAGTCCAACCCCCTGCAATGCAATGCAGGGATCTCAACTAAAGCATCCATGACAGATGGCCATCCAACCTCTGCCTAAAAATGTCTAAGGAAGGAGAACCCACAGCCATCCGAGGGGAGTCTGTTCCACTGTCGGAGCAGCTCTCAGTGTCATCATACTGATGACCACTCCCTCCAAAACCTCTAGTGACTGCCCCCTGTTGTTCAATAATAATAATAGTATATTATTATTATTATTATTATTATTATTATTATTATTATTATTTATACCCCATCCATCTGGTTGGGCTTCCCCAGCCACTTTTGGTGGCTTCCAACAAAATATTAAAATACAGCAATGTATCAAACATTAAAAGCTTCCCTAAGCAGGGCTGCCTTCAGATGTCTTCTAAAAGTCATACAGATGTTAAAACAAAACTGGGGACAAAATGGAAGCTGATGTCCTCTTCCCTGTTGCACATTCATATCAGCACCAGTCCTCTCAGTTTGCAGTGACTATTTCTGCTTTCTCCCCCCAGCGGGTCGCTACAGGACTTGGTGCATCTTGGATCATCGGAAGACTGCTTTATGCTTACGGCTACTACACAGGAGGTGGGTTTATGGGGCTGGTTAAACGCAATCCATTCGTCGCCTGCAGAGCTGCTCCGATTGGGCAGTTTTCCTTGGATTCCCAATTGGATCTGTTGCCAAACTCTTCCATGCATTGTGCAAGAGCTTGGAAACCAGGAACGGTCTATCTTATGCTCCCCCCCCCCATAAGGGTAGGAAGCTATGTTTAGAATGAAAATAGTGGGATTTTATCCCATTATGCCATGGGTAGGCAAACTAAGACCTGGGGGCCGGATCCGGCTCAGTCGCCTTCTAAATCCAGCCCACAGACTGTCCGGGAATCAGCGTGTTTTTACATGAGTAGAATGTGCCCTTTTATTTAAAATGCATCTCTGGGTTATTTGTGGGGCATAGGAATTCGTTCATTTTTTTTTTCTTTTCAAAATATAGTCCGGCTCCCCACAAGGTCTGAGGGACAGTGGACTGGCCCCCTGCTGAAAAAGTTTGCTGACCCCTGCTTATGCAGTGCCTTAACTCCATCCTCCTTTGCCAGAAAAAGAGAAAGCCCTATACATTCTCTGGAGCACATACAGTGGTACCTCGGGTTACATACGCTTCAGGTTACAGACTCTGCTAACCCAGAAATAGTGCTTCAGGTTAAGAACTTTGCTTCAGGATGAGAACAGAAATCGTGCTCCGGTGGCGCGGCAGCAGCTGGAGGCCCCGTTAGCTAAAGTCGTGCTTCAAGTTAAGAACAGTTTCAGGTTAAGTACGGACCTCCAGAACGAATTAAGTACTTAACCCGAGGTACCACTGTACTGAAGTGTTGACTCAAGAGTAGAGAAGCACACTGATAATTTCATTGCTTTTTTTTTTGCAAACCGCTTTGGGGTGGTGGTGGTGGTGGTTTTACAATCAAGCAGAATATAAATTTTGGGAAATCAATAAAATAAATATTTCACATATGGAACACTAGATGATGTACACAGGGGGTCTCAAGGTTGCACACATACCCCGCCTCCAAACACGCCCCGAAATCTCAAAACTACCAGACTTCTCCCTGCTTAGAATCAGCAAGGTTGCTGGTTTTCGTTATCAAATTTATTTATTTGTAAAATGCTTATAGACCACCTTCTCATGCATAACATTATTTTACAAATACATTGCTGTGGTTGGTTGTCATCCACCTGTCTTGAGAGACAGTGGAGTGCACCTTCCAGAGTGAATTCAAACGGCTGGAGAATCACAACGCCTGCTGTGGCTGCAAAGACTGTTAACTCTGTTAATTAACAGACTGTTAATTATTAGGAAGCTGCCTTATCCTGAGTTGGGCCATTGGTCCACCCAGCTTAGGGCTAGCTACTAACAGCTGGCATCCTTCTGTCTCAAGAGACAATGGAGTGTGCCTCTGCTGAAGTCAAACTGCTGGAGAATCACAGTGCCTGCTATGGCTGCAGAGACTGGTAACTCGTAACTGCTGCCTCCTGCATTGTTTTTCCTTCATTAGTAGGACCAAAGTGACCTCTCTGGGGTGCAAGCCTGGGCAGTGTGCATGGAGGTCCTCTCTGGAAAGGTGTGAGAAGGAGCAGTCTAGGAAAGCAGAAATAGTAGTTCATGAACGTGTGTCCTGCTGGCATTTGGCCGCCAAAGCCTCTAACTTTTTGTATTGAAGCCTGTGTCTTGCCTTTGATAGGATATCTTGAAGGGGACGGTAAAAAATTAAAACCTCATGTTTTAGAGCAGGCATAGGCAAACTTGGCCCTCTAGATGTTTTTTGAGACTACAATTCCCATCATCCCTGACCACTGGTCCTGTTGGCTAGGGATGATGGGAGTTGTAGTCCCAAAACATCTTAAGGGCCGAGTTTGCCTGTGTCTGTTTTAGAGGTACAAAACAACCACTGAGACGTTTATCCTAGGTAGATTGCAGTACAGTGGGCGCTCGGGTTGCGAACGTGATCCGTGCGGGACGCACATTCGCAACCCGCATCTGCGCACGCACGGGTTGCGATTTGGTGCTTCTGCGCATGTGCAAAGCGTGATTTAGCACTTTTGCACATGCGCGACCGCCGAAACCCGGAAGTAACCCGTTCCGGTACTTCCGGGTTTCGGCGGTCCGCAACCCGAAAAAACGCAATCTGAAGCGGCTGTAACCCGAGGTATGACTGTATACTGTGCACGCCAACTGCCCTTTCTCCATCCTGCACGGTTTGAAAGTCTTGGCGCTCTGGCTGGGTAGCTGAAAAGACAGGCTTCTTGCAACAAGTGAAGCCGGGATATCAGCTGCTCACCTTGCTTCTCATACCGAGAGTGAGTCGTGTGAACCTCACCTTTTCCTTACAGATCCCAAGAAACGAAACCGAGGAGTTCTCGGCTCTTTGGCGCTTCTCGGATTGGCAGGGACCACCGTTTACTCTGCTTTGGTTCATCTTGGCTGGGTGTGCGATCACTAGATGACACCTCCTCTATGGCTTCCTGGGAAGCCTTTAAATCTTTCAATAATGCAATTATATTTTAATTATTTAAAAAATCAAATAAAAGCCAACACTAACCATAACTGCTCTCTTTCCCTTCATTCTTGGTATGATCTGTTTGTAAGCCTTATTCCTCTCCACACCAGACACTTTCCTGTGGCCAAGAGCTCTAGCCCTGCACAGGCAGCACATGGTAAAAACTGTGGTTATTTTCTAATTATTATTAAATTAAATAATAATTTGAAAAAATGAGTGGGGGGTGCTCGTGTGATCTCACTGTATACAAGTTGTACAAGTGACAATAAAATATTTCAATTCAATTACTGAATTAATATACCGCCCTATATCCAGAGTTCTCACGGCGGTTCACAGAAAAGATCACAATATATAAATTCAAAATAAAAACAATAACCCAATAACAGCCCCCCCCAAAAAAAAGATCCACATTTTAAAAGGGCATAGGATCAGGTCAACCAAAGGCCTGGTTAAAAAGGAACTCTTGCCTGGCACCTAAAGATGTATAATGAAGGCGCCTGGCGAACTTCCCTGGGGAGAGCATTCCACGGACGGGGGGCCACTGCAGAGAAGGCCCTGTTTTTGTGCTGCCACCCTCTGGAGCTCTCGAGGAGAAGGCACACGAGTTTGTGGTGCTTGCCAGAGGGGTGTGGAAGACCTGCCAGGGTGACCATGCCCCGTGGAATTGTATGCTTGAGGACATAAGACGAGCAGATCTAGTCCAGCAATTCTGTTCTCAGAGTGGCCAACCCAATGCCTCTGAGAAGAAGAAGAAGAGTTTAGATTTGATATCCCGCTTTATCACTACCTGAAGGAGTCTCAAAGCGGCTAACATTCTCCTTTCCCTTCCTCCCCCACAACAAACACTCTGTGAGGTGAGTGGGGCTGAGAGACTTCAAAGAAGTGTGACTGGCCCAAGGTCACCCAGCAGCTGCATGTGGAGGAGCGGAGACGCGAACCCGGTTCACCAGATTACGAGTCCACTGCTCTTAACCACTACACCACACGGTGTAGCCCACACGGAGCCCGTGACTAGATCAGCGCTCTCCCCCCAACTGGTTCTCAGATGCACGTTGCCTCTGACATAGTACTGCCCCATGACTAGATCAGCGCTCTCCCCCCAACTGGTTCTCAGATGCACGTTGCCTCTGACATAGTTTTAAGTACTGCCCTCTTGAATCTCCGTGGCATCTGCCCACCTGAGTTTCCCCATAGCTGCTCTCACACTGCATAATCCAACTTGAAATTTTATGCTGAATCTTGGCGAGCGATAGACATCGTTTCTGTTCTTCAGACATGTATCGTTGGACAGCAGACTCTGTCCATGTCTGCCCTGCCGAGCCAAAACGCAGGAAAAGATGGCTCACCCACTGCCAGTTCATTTTTGCCTGCTGCTGGCTTGAGACGGAGGACAGAGGGCAAACACAAAAAGGCCTTACTCAACAAGAAGGCATAGAATTGAGGCTGTGCCTTTTTTTACACAGCAAGCAACACTGGACTGTTGACAGTGGCATCCGCACCATATTTTATTTTACATATTTTCCATTGTGGTGGGAGTTGGCACTTAGGGGAGTGCCATCTGAATTAGGGTAAAAACAGCAACCTAATAACACTCCCCTATGCTTGCCTCTCATGTGTGGTATTATATCGGCAACTGTCTTTGAAGACTGGAAACTTCAGCTGGTGCAGAATTCAGCAGCCAGGTTGCTCACCGGAGCAAGACAGTTTGAGCATACGAGATCCTGGTGCGACTGCACCAGCTACCAATTAGTTTCCGGGCCCAATTCAAAGTGCTGGGTTTGACCTATATATGGCTCAGGACTGCAATACCTCAAGGACCGCCTCTTTCCATATGATGCTATCCGGACCCTGAGATCATCCTCTGAGGCCCTTCTTCGTGTGCCTCTGATGTAAAAATTGGAGTTTAGCTTTTGCTGCCCAGCTCCCCATTGGACTCTGCGCCTCCTAAGTCCATAATCGGTCAGAGAAGAATGGGTGGAGGCAGGATCCAGTGGAAAGCAAGGCAGAAACTTATTTTTCTGTTGCAACAGAGTTCGCTCGCTCCCCTCCTTGGAAGGCGGGACAGATCCTGAACAAAAGTGTGCAGGAACCTTTATTTTATTTTTTTAGTTACAGATAGGTAGCCGTGTTGGTCTGCCATAGTCAAAACAAAAAAAATTCCTTCCAGTAGCACCTTAAAGACCAACTAAGTTAGTTCTTGGTATGAGCTTTCGTGTGCATGCACACTTGCTATCTGAAGAAGTGTGCATGCACACGAAAGCTCATACCAAGAACTAACTTAGTTGGTCTTTAAGGTGCTACTGGAAGGAATTTTTTTAATAATTTTTATTGATTATTGATTTTTACATGCATACTTCTTCTAACAATATATCTTTAACAATTTAAAGACTCTTGACATTGCCCAACTCCCTTAGCCAAAGACCACCCCATAAATCATCATATATGCAGCATAAATATTTATTTAATTTGTGTAGCGCCCTCCATCCGAAGAGCGCCCCCTGCAGGCCACTCTCCGCACTCGCCCCGTAAACTCCTGGTCTCTCCGCGGTCCTAGCGCTGGTTAGCGTCGGAGGGTCTCCGCCGCGCATGCGCGTGCTCCCTGCCATGCGCAGTGAGCTTCGAGGCGCGAAGACGGAGGAGTAGGGGAGAAGGGCGGGAGGGCAGCTGTAGGGAGGGGCCTGTCGCGCATGCGCCCGCCGTGGGCGCGCTTCCTGTCATGCGCAGTGAGGCCCGCGCCTCGCTTTGAGTGACAGGCGCGAGGAGGAGGAAGGGAGGCGGGTAGAAGGGCACCGGGGAAGGAGTCGCGCATGCGCCCGCGCCTCCCTGCCCATGCGCAGTGGGCTCCGCGCCTCGCTTTAAGCGAGAGGCGCGAAAGGGAAGCGGCGCTGAGGGCGATGGCTGCGCGGGCGGCGTCGGCGTCGCGTCTCCCGGCGGCCGTGGGGGCTCTCGGCGCCGCCTTGCCAGGGCCTCGAGTCCCCCCGGAGGCCTTCCGCCTCGCCAAGCTCGGCCGGCCCCATGCGGTGGGTGGAAGGCGTGTGAGGGCGGGCGGCCTGCCGGGATTCCTCAGCCCTGCTACCCTCACGCCTTTGTTTCGCGAAACACCCCAGAAAAGCAGCAGGAACCTCGAAGCGGTTGGCAGGGGGGGGAATAGGAGAAAGGTTTAAAAAAACCGAGGCAAAGGCATCGCCTCACAAAAAGTTTTAAGTTCCCCGTGGCGTTTCGGAGCCCCCGGGGTCGTCCTTCCGTTTCCCAGCAAGTGCCGAAGCAGGAAGGCCCCGCCCTGTTCTCAAGAGGCAGGGAGTTCCGCAGGGTGGGCGCCACCGCGCTCCGTGGAGAAATAGGTGGGGGTTATTTCGAATCCCCGCGACGGGGTGCGCTCCCATTGCTCGGTCCCTGCTCCTGACCACCTAGCAGTTCGAAAGCACGTCAAAGTGCAAGTAGATAAATAGGTACCGCTCTGGCGGGAAGGTAAACGGCTTTTCCGTGCGCTGCTCTGGTTCGCCAGAAGCGGCTTAGTCCTGCTGGCCACATGACCTGGAAGCTGTACGCTGGCTCCCTCGGCCAATAAAGCGAGATGAGCGCCGCAACCCCAGAGTCGGCCACGACTGGACCTAATGGTCAGGGGTCCCTTTACCTTATGTGGCGCCTGTAGTCGGGTTGCTATTCCCCCAGTAGAAGGGGGCCGACCGTGCCCCCTAAAGGCGATCTCATGGGCGAAGTCGACCCAAGTTCGTTGTTAAGAGCCTCATATGCACCTTCAACTCGGACCCCCAGCAGATCGGCAATCAGTTGGGCATCAATAGAATTAAAACTTTAATTTTTTAAAAAAAGATATATAAAATGTAGGTAACTTGAGCAAAAACAGCACTGTGCAGCCCTTTAGATGTCAGTTCATGAAAAGGAGGAGGGCCCAACTCAAGTGTTTGCATAAAAGATATCCCTCCTTCCTCCTCTTAGGATCTCCATTCTGCAAGTGCACAAGGGGAAAGCTCTGCTCCTTTGTGGCTGAGCTAGATTTTTTTTTTGGGGGGGGGGGGAGGCTTCCAGAGCTATTAAGACTCATTGCTGTAAGGTTCGGCTTCAGTCCTAAGCACATTTATAAGGGAGTGAAGTCCCACTGAATTGGTCACAACTGCACAGTTTCTGTAGCAGAGCTTTCCAAACTGTAGCGACACCTTAGTGTGCCGGCTGCAGCGTGTAGGTGTGATGTGAACGCTCCCCACACTCCTCCCAGGGCTGGAAAAGGGTTAGCGTTAGTCTGTAAAACTGAATTACTGTGTCACAAAATGATGCAAAACTGAATTACTGCGTCGCAAAATGATGCATGTCTAAAAAGTGTGTCACCAATGTGAAAAGTTTGGGAAGCTCTGTTCTAGAGCCATCTGCATTTGTCTTGGCCCAAATGTGATCCTTACATAGGGTGGTTCAGTGTTTTTTTTTTTGGGGGGGGGAGGTTAACATTGGGGTAGATACGCAGCTCAGGCCTGCCTGGAGTGCTCCATTCTGTGATCTGGATGTGTTTCTTATCAGCTAAGGTTACTCTCTCATGAGAATTGCATTCTGTTGGTTTAATGTTTTATGAGTGGTTGGCATCCTTAAGGAAGGCAGCCTTGCTTCCTCCCCCCACCCCCCACCCCAGTTTGTGGGGACAGCAGAGCAGAACCTGCACTCTTCAAGTTCCACTGTGGCCTCTAGGTTTTGCAACTTGTAATCCCAATTTCTCTTGACACGTTCCTTTTTGAAAAATGAAACCACCTAAAATTGACTAAAAGCACTGTGTGGTTTTCAGCTTAACTTTTACTTAGAGCAGACCCATGGAAATTAATGAATAAGTTAACACCATTGCTTTCAGTAGGTTTAAAACTGAAGTTGAATACCACCCACTGTGGTATTCTACTCCCCTCTGAACCACCAGAAGGAAGCTTGGGTTTGTGGGTGGGTGGGTGTTGCGGAAGGGGGATTAGTGGATTTCTTTCATCCAGTTGAATTGCATTGTAAACAATACAGCAAATGTTTTAGTGCTGTTGTCTTCCTTAAACAGACTGTAGTATTCTGGAAACTACTGTATTCTCTTCTGAAGCAATTCCAAGGCGGAGGATGGATGGAGCCTGCTGACACAGGTAGCAAATTACTATTAATCTGGGAACATTAATTTTTTTAGCAAAAATTAGTGATAAGTGTATGCATAATACAGAGCTTTTTGTTTGTTTAATAGATATTTCCTTTTTTAAAAAAAAAAAGTAGAACAGCCACATTAGGAAAGAGCCACAATTAGTAAAACAGGAGAGTAAAAATATCTCATAGCTATAACCAAGTCTGCAATCTCCTCAGCTGTTGCAATGTCTTGGGAAATTAAAGGCTTCTGTCCTGACACCCAAAGGGCATTCACATGATCAACAGAAACTCCCTCGGGGAGAGTATTCCATGCTTTGAAAGCAACCAGTGAACTTGCTGTATAGAGGGGAAGGTTGCATTGCTGTTATTTGCATAGCCCACCTGCAGTGTGAATTTGTTCTGGAGCTTTGTTTCCCCAGGACACAGTTGATTTTGAAATTGTGGAAAGTGACAACTGCTGCCTTATCTGCCTTCCCTGTATAGGGAAGCTTTTTAATCCGCAATGTTTTTATGTATGTTGGAAGGCGCCCAGAGTGGCTGGGGCAACCCAGTTATTAAATGCGCAGAGTACTACTATTAATAATAATCATCATCACCTGCTTCCTAGGTACCCAAGTCAGATTCGTCAGGAGTGTAGCGTTGAGCCTTGGCTACAGAAGACCAGAATTTTATCAGCTTCCTCCTGATGGTTCAGAGGGAAGCAGAGAACTACTATTGGTATTTTCTTGGCTTCTATGCAGAATCAGCTTAATGGAGCAGTTATTGGCCCTAAATAGAGTGAAACTTTGGGATGAAGCAACTGTTTGCATGGTGAGTAATTTTTTTTGGTAATAATTTTCAGATATCCTTTTTTTTAAACTAGGAACAAGATATTGGAGGGTAGGGCTGGACTTGAATGTGTATTTCAGTTTTGTTGCTGTTGCTTGTTTCATGAAAATGACAGTGTTGGTTTAAGAAAAGACTCTTATACAGTAGATGTGGTTCCCAATGCATTTTGAGGAATATATTTAATTCCTGGGTTCAGGAATAATCTGATGTACAGTGGTGCCTCGCAAGACGAAAAGAATCCATTCTGCGATTCTCTTCGTCTAGCGGTTTTTTCGTCTTGCGAAGCAACCCCATTAGCGGCTAAGCGGATTAGCGCTATTAGCGATTTAGCGCTATTAGCGGGCTTAGCGGCTAAGCTGTTAAAAGGCTATTAACGGCTTAGCGGCTTTGAAAGGAGGGGGGGAGCAAAAAAAAATGGCGAGACTCGCAACTCGCAAGACGTTTTCGTCTTGCGAAGCAAGCCCATAGGGAAATTCGTCTTGCGAAGCGCCTCCGCGACGGAAAACCCTTTCGTCTTGCGGGTTTTTCGTCTTGCGAGGCATTCGTCTTGCGGGGCACCACTGTATACCTTGTTGGATACATTACATTTTAGTCTGCTTAGGTGAGCTGAATTACGAAAGAGGTCTTGATCCATTTTTAACAAGAAGCATTAAGTATCAAAACTTTCCTGAAAGACATCAGGAAACATTAGTTGTGCACCGCAGTTGTTCTTTTCATTGTTGCATTTTCTGCAACTGTTGTCAATCTTCTCTTTGCATGCAATGTCAGTCCAGTAGTCCCTTCTGTGACTTTGGGGTCACATTGTAGTGGAGGAGCTGACAGGTACGGTATGTGTTTGTGCTCTGTCTGTCTTCTGTAATTTATCGAACTTTGGATTATTGGTAGGAAAGATTTGCCAACAGACCGCCAGAGTAATGTTAAAGGAAACAGTTGTATTCATTGTGAACTGATACTGGATAAGTTAACTTATGCAAAAATCTAGTTTTATTAATAATTAGTATCCCACTATTTTTTAGAAACTTTATTCAGGACAGTCTGCCACTTAAAAATAAAACCAAAGTAGAAGCAGTTAAAAACATTACAGAATAAACATATTTAATTTCAAAGTCTACTTGGACTTTGTGGGAGCTGGGGCCAGGCACATTTCCGTTTGCCATGGGGAAGCAGGTCTGAAGAGGGGAGGCCGTGGACCAGATCTAGAGGTTTGGGGACCAGAGGTTCCCCACCCTTGTTTTAGAGGAAGCCCTCATGAGGCAGTTTACATAGGGGGGAGGATCATAAAACTGTAAAAATTTAGACACCAGAGACCAAAGCTGGAGCTTGTTGTATAGTAATGCCTGGTTTTAAATATACTACTGCTGTAGTAGCCTCAGAATTGAGTCATTAATATATCTCTTGGTTGCCTGCAAAATGGATTTCTTGAACTTTGCACCTTGTTCCACAACCCACTTCTGTAAGTGCTGCTTAAATTGCCAATAGGTGGCAGCACAGTTATAGTGGAAAGTCTTTTCAATAGGAAAATTGTTCCATTGAGCAACGTTTTACACTTGCAGCAATGCAGAGGCATCTTGAGCTTGCTTTTTCTTGCAGAACACATTTCCCCAGCTTGCTGGTTATGTTAAAAATGATTGAAATATAAATATTTGATGCTCCCCAAGATAGTGTAATTGTGCCACAGGTATGACTCCAATGGGGCTCTTTGAGAATTTGCAGCATCATACAGAATCCACAGGCAATATGTTCTGCAACACAATGGGGTTTGGAGTAGCTAAGAGAACAAGGGCACAGGTCCTTCCTCAGTTTTACTGGTTCATTGCACCCTCAAGAACTCAGAATGATTTTTAAAAGGTTTGCAAAAGATTTATTAGCTTTTGTGCCAGCCTTGTTCATGTGATCACTGTGCTGGTGGGCAATTCAGCTGGCTTTCCCCCCCTGTTCCTCGTCTCCCATCTCTGCCTGAGTCCAATAACTTAGTTGTCTTGATTGTGGACTTTATGGGGAGGACTTTCGTATTTCCCGCTTCTTTAAATGGATTCAAAATGCTCCCTAGCAATATGGCTGCTGTGAGAATTGCTTTGCTTTGTTGTGATCACTATTCTCTGCCTTTTCTTCTGGGGTTTAGAAAGTTTTCTGAATCTCCTGAATCTTTTTTATTTATTTATTTATTGAAAACATTTTACTCCACTCTTGAGCAGAAAAAGGCTGCCACTTGCAATGATCAAGAATAATAATTCATTTTCATTTCATTGGTTTCTTTCTTATATTCTAACTGTCTTTCCTGAGGGAAACCTAAAGCGGCTCACAGAAAACAGCAACTTGATTAACACAAAATATCAGAATGAAAGTCAGTATAGCAGAAAAACATATTTGCAATTATAAAGCATTATCGAATGTGTGAAAGCATGAACTTACTTTCAATAAATCTATTAAACCCATAAGAATTAATTCTGCATCTGTGCACAATGATGAGAGCTGCCTTGCATTCGTGGGGCTGCCTCGACCGCCTTAACACAAGCAGGCAGGCGCTGGAGGAGTGGCAGATTTGCCCTGTGCCTCATGGGGCTGGTGGCTTTGCCCACCCAGCCTCGACAGAAAGAAGCAGAAGCTGTGTGTGGTGATGCTAATTGTCTCTGTGGCTGTGTGCATGCATGTGAAAGCATTCATGTGAAAGTAGGTGGGGGGCCACACCAACTGCTGGTTTGCACCCCCCAGAAGAGTTGCAGTGGCAGACTGTGGCTCTTTGATCCCAAAAGCTTAGCCATTCCTAGTCTAAAGATACACATATTGGGGGAAAGTATTTTTTTCAAGATTTTGTTCCTTTCTTCCAATTTTAGTGTGATACCCCTTTGAAAAGCCTGCAGGATGGAGAAAGCCTGCCTCCAAAATCTCATATGAAAGACCAAAGGGATGTCCGATACCTGCAGTGGTTAAATGGCCGTCTGCAGTTCCAGTGGCGAAAATGCCACACTGAACAGCAAGAACAATGCAAGCTCCTGAATAAGGTAATGATTTGGCTTGTAGATATTTCATCTTTCTGCATTAAGGTTAAAGTAAAACTAGTTTTGGGTTGTAGATGTAACCCATCTAACGTTATTTTGCTGCAGACTACACTTCGCAGAAAAAAATAACAGCAAGCTGCCTTATTCAAATCCTGAGATTTTTTTCTTTCTAATTTTGAAGACTATGGAGATCAAAACAGAATGAAAATTCATTCATAGTTTTCTTTAGAAATTGACATGCGTGCTTGTAATCTGTTAGCCTCAAGTGTACCAATAGTATTAGTATAGTGATTATGTGATAAGTGGTGCGTGCATGTATACAGATAGATATAATTTCTAAACCCACATCTCTCTGTTCCAGGTACATTCATACACAATTGGTTCTCATACTGATCCCATTATTGGTCATTTCTCCATCACAGAAGCAGATGTTGTAAGGCAACCAGAGAATTACAAACAGGTAATCCTTTTGTGGCATAGTGCTATGTTAGAAACTATGGAGAATTCTGTGAATCAATATGTATGCCAGAATTGGAGGACTAGATTTTCAGCCCTCAAGCCATAATCCACCAGAAATAGAAGACTTCTAGCTCTGTGATTCCCCAAGCGGACTGGCTGTCTCTTGATGTGCTGGGTGCCTAGATGCAGGCTGATGCCATTGGACTGTACCAGCACCTTGAGGCCTTTGCAAGAGAATTGTTACAAGCGCTTGCAATCCACCCTTCACTCAAAGGTCCCAGGGTGGGGAATACATCTCTGTTAAAACCAAAAGTTGATATATAAACTAAAAAACCCACATCCGTATCATTAACAGTAAGCTTTAACAGTAACAGTTTGCAGTAAAATCCCAGTAAGAAAGCTGAAAAGCAGCAAAAATGAGGCAGAAGCACTCTCAGTCCCCAGTGCACCGGTAGCCCTCCTCAAAAGCCTGGACAAAGAGGTATGCCTTAAAAGGAGAGCAGTGCCAAGCATAATGCACCTTAAAGAGGAGGTCATTGCATAAGCATGGAGACACCACAGAGAGAATCTTCCCATAGACACACACACACTGTGGACCTCACTTGACAGGGGAGCATGGAGAGCCAATTTGTGTGTTGTGTAGGTTGCATGCATTCCAAAGAGCATAGCACTCATATATGCCTAGATTCATAGGAAATTCCATTCTCTATAGTATGTACACTTAGAAAGGTCAGATTCCAGCTCTAACTTCCTTGAGGCACAGGAAATAGAGCTTTGTGCTCCTCCCCTTCATGCTAATAGATTTCAGTATCTTTTTCCATAGAATCCTTTCAATCAGCTAGCGAGGATCTACATCTATTTTGCTTCTAATTGGTGGTATTAAGCATTTGTTGGCTTTGACTTTCCTTTATCTTGTCCCTATTACCTGTCCCAAGTTTTTTAAGACCTTTTTTTGCTGATTGTCCAGTCTACTCAGGCCTCGGTGCCAGGATTTGTTACATTTTGGACTTCATAGCTTAATTTTTACTGCTCTTGGACACAAAACAAGGAAAACGAAAACACCAGTGAGTGCTATCTACTACCTGAGGGTGGCTCTATGTTGGCTTGACAGTAGAGAAATATCCAAGTGTTTGGGACTAAGGAGGGAAAAAAACATTTAAATAATTCACATACAGATATGTTTTTGAGAATCATCCAGCTAAAGCCTAAGTGGCCTTATGCAAATTCAAAACCATGCCGCTCTGGCATAAGTTACTTTGTTTATTTAAAGGATTTTGCTTCAATTTTCAGCTTGCAAAGACCATAGGAAAAGGCAATCTCTGCCCTCTGGCTTACAGTCTAACAGGAAAGGGGATGAGAATGGAATAGGTAAAAAGCAAAGTCAGGCACCAGTTCTTAGTTACAAGGTTCTGCAGGCCATGCAACACAGCGGGAGGGCTGCTGCTTCCTCTCCTTCTAGGAGCCTCAGTGGTGGCAGTCAGTGGCTGAAAGCCAGGTGAGATCCAGACATGATGGAAGGTACCTGGCGGCAGCTGCTACTGCTTTTCCTCTTAGCTTGGCATAATAGGGAGACTGACCTTTCTCAAAACTGTATCACACTTCAGTTAAAGTTTCTTTGAATAATTATACCACACTTGAATGAAAAAAGCCAGCATATTAGTAATAAAAGGTAAAGGTACCCACTGACCGTTAGGTCCAGTCGCGGAGGACTCTGGGGTGCATGCTCATCTCGCTCTATAGGCCAAGGGAGCCGGCGTTTGACCACAAACAGTTTTTCCGGGTCATGTGGCCAGCATAACTAAGCTGCTTCTGGCAAACCAGAGCAGCACACGGAAACGCCGTTTACCTTCCTGCCGGAGCAGTACCTATTTATCTACTTGCACTTGACTTGCTTTCAAACTGCTAGGTGGGCAGGAGCTGGGACCGAACAACAGGAGCTCACCCTGTTGCAGAGATTCAAACTGCCGACCTTCCGATTGGCAAGCCCTAGGTTTAGACCACTGCGCCACCCGCTTCCCCGTATTAGTATATCTTACTGCAAATAGCCCCTTTGCTGTATGATGGTGATGATGATACAAATTACTTTGTGTTCTAGCTTCCCCTCAAAGGATAGACCTATACAGTGTTTATGTCTGCCACTAGCCATCCTAAAAGTGTTAGCCTGCTTTTAGTGAAGCATATAATTCATTTTCATTGAGAACTATCATAAAGTGAGCAATCTGGTTCTGACAGATAAGGTGTAATTTTTTGGGGGGTGGGGGAGGAA